ACGCGGTTGTTCATGATTGAATAGAGCATTCACTATGCACATACATTAAATTATATAACGATGAATCAAATAGAACAATGTTTGATGAAAGCAGGCAACTCTAGAATATTTTATATTTATATTGTCCTTGTTCAAACTGCCCGGCTATCCGCAGCAAATTATATTTTATACGGTAGACTCTCTGTTCTTAAGACCATCCCGGAATAAATACCACCCCGCCATTTGGACCATTTAATAAAAGAACGGTATTTTCTGTTCTTTATCTCAATGGTTACATGATTCAGAATTAAGACCACCCTGTTTATCCACTTTTAAAACCACCAGATTCAGTCCCAAATTCATTATTTTTTTTTTTTAAACCCACTATTGAGGCTACTGATGTTAAACTCAACACCTACCTGTAATAAACCACAAATTAGTTGTTATTTTCTGTTTGAATTCTCTTTGGCATGACGGTGTTAGCAAATGTTATTGGGTTATTATATGAAATAAGGTGAGAAAGTAATTTTTTTGCGTCACTGTGGTTTAATTTTGCTTTCGGCATATTTATATGCGTAAAGAATTCATTTCTTATGATGGTTGAATTATGCAGATCATAATTATTATAATTGATATTTAAATCAGACCAAATGGAATTTTATACATTAGAATCTCTATTTTAATAAAGCTTAAGTCTCACTTACATCCCGGCAGAGCCCCGTTAGATCCGGGAACATCCGGCATTCGACCCCGGCTTGAATAAAATATTAAATATCACGACCGGGGTAACACCGGGGAAGCACCGTAGCTCTGCCGGCACAAACCGGGGACGATCCGGGGTATGATATAGCCGGTAGAGCTACGGTAGAGCCCCGATGAATGCCTGCAGAGCCCCGATGAATGCCAGCAGAGCCCCGGAGGATGCCGGCAGAGCTCCGGAGGATGACGATGGAACTACGTTAGACCCCGGTAGAGCCAGAAAATCACCATCAATTACTTTTCTGGAACAATAGATATTATATTAGATAAAAATTATGTATCAATGTAATCATTTTCGCCAGTGTTCAATCCACCGGGGTTCTACTGGGGCTCTGCTTGGATCGTCCTGGGCTCTGTCGGGGCTCTGTCTGGATCGAACTGGGCTCTGCCTGTGTCAACCGGGGCTATTCCGGCGTCATCCGGAAACGACCGGGGAAGCACCGGTATGATTTTCGGCTTCACGTCGGCAAAATACCAGAGTATTACCGACGGACACAACTATACCCGCGGACACCCGGTTAGACCCCCTAATAATCCCACCATACTGGGTTCAGCGTAATTGAGTCTGGTCCCCACATGGTCAAGCCGGAAATGGCCAGATATGAGCTGTGTAGTACGATATTCGGCTCAACGTCGGCAAAATACCAGAGTATTCCCGACGGACACACCTTAACCCGCGGACATCCGGTCAGACCCCCTTACCATCCCACTATGTGCAGTTCTGCGATACTGAGTCTGGTCCAGACAGGGACCAGCTTGAATTGGCCCGATATGAGCTGTCTAGAACGATATTCGGCTCAACGTCAGCAAAATACCAGAGTATTCCCGACGGACTAACCTATACCCGCGGACAGCCGGTCAGACCCCCTAACCATCCCACCATTTTGGCTTCTGCGTAATTGAGTCTGGTCCCCACAGGGGCCAGCCGGAATTGGCCAGATATGAGCTGTGTGGTACGATATTCGGCTCAACGTCGGCAAAATACCAGAGTATTCCCGACGGACACACCTATACCCGCGGACACCCGGTCAGACCCCCTAACCATCCCATCATATGGGGTTCTGCGTAATTGAGTCTGGTCCCCACAGGGGCCAGCCGGAATTGGCCAGATATGAGCTGTGTAGTTTGATTTTCGGCTCAATGTAGGCAAAATACAAGAGTATTCCCGACGGACACACCTATACCTGCAGACACCCAGGCACACAATGCACGACACATATATTCTTCAATCTGCTGTCGGTTTTTTCATCTGATGTAGCCTTGATTTTTATAATGTTCGTGAAGTAAACCAGACAGCCGGAGCAGCCGGAACAGCCGGAACAAAATTTTGTCTCGTCCGGCTGTTCCGGCTACTCCGGCTAGCCAGAATCCGGTTCCGGCTGAATCGGCTAGCCAGAGAATATTCAGTAGAACCTGTGCAATAGACAATTGGATAATTCTATAATGTAGCTTCAAATTATTTATCACCTCGATCTCTGGCTATTCCGGCTGGCCAGAATAACCAAAATGAAGGCTATCAAAGATGAAAAAATAATCCAGGAACTATTTTATGAATATTTGTGTCGTGCAAGTTGTGACAGCGGGACCGCTGGCAAAGGTTCGCCGTCGGGAATGCTGTATCATTTTGTCGACGTTGAGCCGAAGATCGTACTATACATGGTCATTTCAACACATATCTGGCCATTTCCGGCTAACCCCTGTGAGGCTCAGCCTCAATTGCACAGAACCCCATATGGTGGGGTGGTTAGGGAGTATAGGCGTGTGTCCGCTGGCAAAGGTGTGCCCGTCAGGAATACTTTGGTATTTTGCCGACGTTGAGCCGAAAATCGTACCATACATCGTCATTTCAATTAATATCTGGCCAATTACGACTGCCCTCTGTGAGGCTCAGCCTCAATTGCACAGAACCCCTATATTGTTTGGATGTTTAGGGGTCTGACCGTGTGACCGCTGGCATAGGTGTGTCCGTCGGGAATACTTTGGTATTTTGCCGACGTTGAGCCGAAAATCGTGCAATACATGGTCATTTCAACTCATATCTGGCCAATTCCGGCTGACCCCTGTGGGGCCCGGCCTCAATAGCACAGAACCCTATATGGTGGGAAGGTTATGGAGTTTAACCGTGTGGCCGCTGGCAAAGGTGTGTTGGTCGGGAATACTTTGGTATTTTGCCGACGTTGAGCCGAAAATCGTGCAATACATTGTCATTTCAAATCAATTCTGGTCATTTCCAACTGACCCCTGTGAGGTTCAGCCTCAAATGCCCAGAACCCCCATATGGTGGGATGGTTAGGGTCTGACCGTGTGTCCGCTGGCAACTGTATGTCGGTCGGGAATACTTTGGTATTTTGCCGACGTTGAGCCGAAAATCGTACTATACATGGTCATTTCAACTCATACCTGGGCATTCCGGCTGACCCCTGTGAGGCCCAGCCTCAATTGCACAGAATCCAATATGGTGGGAAGGTTAAGGAGTTTAACCGTGTGGCCGCTGGCAAAGGTGTGTTCGTCGGGAATGCTGTGACATTTTGCCGACGTGGAACCGAAGATCGTGATATAAATGGTCATTTCAACTCATATCTTGTCTATTTCGGCTGACCCCTGTGAGGTCCAGTCTCAGTGTCGCAGAATCTCATATATTTGGATGGTTAGGGGGACCGTGTGTTCGCTGGTTTATTTGTGTCTGCCAGAAATACTCTGGTATTTTGCTACGTTTAGCCAAATATCAAAATATAAATGATCATTTTAGCTCATATTTTAACATTTTCCTTAAATGTCCCCTGTGATATCCAGAACCAATTCCACAGAATGCCATATAGTTGGGTTTTTATGGGGCTGACCGTGTGTTCGCGGGTATAGGTGTGTCCGTCAGGATTACTCTGGAATTTTGCCGATTTTGAGTCGAAAATCGTACAATACATGGTCATTTCAGCTCATATCTTGCCATTTCCGGCTGACCCCATTCTCTTATGATCCCAAGGTGCAGTTCAACAGAAACCCATAAACGAAAGACCAGTGGGGACATTTCAACTACATGAATTCCCGATTATATCTTCATTAATTCACGAGTTAAACTTCGTGAGTTAACGTTTTCAACATACGGAAATCACGAAAAATACGATTTAAACTTCAGGAATTCACAACTTCAACTTCATGAATTCACGATTTCAACTGCACGAGTTCATGATCATTTTTATACAATTATATAGCATGCTGATCCTATTTATTGTGGTAAAACATATTTTTCTGTGTTTTTTTTACTATCAAGACATCCAACTGAAATGGGAAATGTCTGTAAATACAAAGGCTTGTTATTTATTAGATTCTGGAGGGGGGGGGGGGGGTTGTTGACAATAAACAGTCAGTATATGTTTAGATAAAGTATATCAATGATAACGAGTCTTGCTATAAAATGAAGTTACAAATTTTTAAAATGAAATCAGATAAATGTACGATGTTATTCTATTTATTTTAAGCTGATCTTGTTAAGCTTCTTTCCTATTTTTAATTGCTAATTTACATTTTTTTAAATATGATCAATAAAAATCATTACAGGCATATATTAAACGTGTACTTTGTTATTTGTGTAATCTTTCAATAACTATTTTTATGTGGTTTGTTACAATTTCGTCTAAGTGAAGAGCACCATGAAAAAACTAAAAAGGAAAAATCAAGAATACAAAATCGATTTTTTTAGAATTAAGAAGAATTGAAACGATGTTATTTAGAGGACAGAAAGGGGGTGGGATGGAGATAAACTAAGGTAAAAACCCTCAATTAAGACAAACATCGTGACTGAACCAAAGTGGTCGTATTTCAGGGTTGGTCTCAATTGGGGATATTCTTAGCATTGCTTAAATACTTTATGAACATGACTTTATAACCTGCAAATACAATATTAAAGTATGTTATAATATATAATCTGATTAGAGCTAAACAAATTTCTGAAGAATATATAAACACAGATATTGTGTTATAATTTTTAGGATGGTTTTGACTTCTGATAAAGAAATTAAGCTTGCAGATCCACGTCTGTGTATCAAGTTTTCGTTCACTGTTATTTTTGTACCAATAAATTGTTAACAGGTTAAATAAAAGATCGGCTGAGCCTAATCCTTTACAATTTTAGAAAAAATAAAATGTTGTCTAGAAAATCGCACAAACATCAATATTTTTGTCTCATTTGAATCATTTTCGCAGTAATATTTCAGCATTTCACGATTTGAAAAATAATTATGGACAATACCCATTATTGTGCTGAAAACATTAGATAATTCTTAAGGTGCATCAAATGTCAGCCATATTGTTTTGTTGAAAATTTTAGGTCAAAAATTAAAACTTTCAACTGAAGTATTCTGAGGTACATTTGAAAAGGAAACTGTTGAGGCATTAATCCTTTACCTATAAAGAAGCTGTTACATTGCCTAAAAAGAAAAAGAAAATTAAAATAAAAACAAAAGCCTTACCTGAATCAGTTTGCAGCACATGTAACTTGTATGTCAAAATAAAGTTCCTTCCTATGATGAATATGTGATATGATGAATGAAAACTTTTAAAGTAACATCTATTTTAGTGACACTGAATCTCCATTACCTGAAAAAATTATTTATCAAGTGAAAATTTATATTCCAATAAGGCCAGTAAACACAGCATTATCTAAGTCCAATGTTTACATAGCATGTACACAAAAGTAGTGCAAGGTTAAGTATGGTGTACTATTATGGACATGGGTTACTGATAAAAAAAAATTACTGCAATAATCCATAAGATAAGCAGGATAATATTCCTTCTTGTAATAATTCATTAAAATGAATTGAAACATGACCTTCTTGCAAAATTAATTAAACATAAAAAGCATCAATTCAGAAACTGTAAATTATTATATAGTATTAATTACATTCAAAGCTGTTGTAATATGATATTAATATTTAAAAGATATTATGCATAATGAACATTTAAATATTTTTTAAATACAATTTTATTTTTAAATATAAAAACATACAGTACATGGTATAATATAAATTGGAAGAGAAATAAAGTATACCATTACAAATCTATGAAAGTTAAGGTGCCTTCATTATAGTCTTTGATCAAAGAATCTACTTCATATGACGCGTCTTCGCCTTCATATAGCACCTCATATACTGCATCAGGATTTCCGTCTTTTCCAGAAGAAACAGAAAGCACGGTGCCTTTTTACCAATTTAGAGAGCCGTCTGATTCTGTCCACTGGTGGTTGATTCTCCTCCCAAGGAATTTTAATTTTCTCAAACGTGTTGCTCTGCAAATTTGTATAAAAAATATTAACTATCCCTTTCAAATACATCTTGAAGGCAATTAAAATCTGAAATAAATATTAATAATTTTTGGCCATTTTTAAACTTAAAATAAAGTTGCAAGTTAAATTTGCTCATTTATTTGGATGTTATGCAAAATTAATGTTTAAAAATAGTAAACAAAAGTTAATTTGAGACCAATTTACAGGTGCTTATTGTGTATAAAGGCAATAATATAAGTTTATAACCATCATGATAGGAAAGGATTGCATGTACTGCACAATATTTTGTCAACATTTGTGTTACAGTACACAAGTACCTGAACATAAATTAATATAACAGCTTCATTCATAAATTGTAAAATTCAAATAAGGGTATATTTTCAAATTAATAAATACAATGACACAACAATTGAAATAAATTCCATGAATAATATATCCACATTAAATTTCATTAATTTTGAGCACATCAGTACACCATATCGAGTTACTTGCATATGCACTTTCATTCATGTCATTTCATGCTTCATGAGTTTGAGAAATATTTTTATAATACAATATAAAGGACAGGGTAACTTACCTTCAAAGCTATATTATAATCATAAAGTTGCATAAATATTTCAAAGAAATAAAATAGAATTAATAAAATCGTTTTTACAGGCCATGTGAGAACCTCTTGTTTTTGTTTACATTTTGATGAATGAAAACGAAAGTTAATTATTTGTAAATGGTATGTCATCGTACAACATGGCCGATCGGTTTGTTTATTTGTGGGATAAAGAACTTGAACAAAGTACCAGTGTATAAATTTTAATCAATACATCTGATCTTACCGTGAATAAGTTAAAATCATTTGAAAAGAAAATTTTCCGCAGCAGCGTGTCTACATCTCCACCATGTTAGTTTACTTGGTACCCGTTCTAACAATTAATAGTTATTATCACGCTTACGACAGTCGGGTAACCATACGAAATGTATATCCGCCAAATTGTAAAAAATTAAAAGAACTTACGCGATTGTTCATAGTTCCATGAAATATTACGTGTATTTGAAATATGTCGCTTATATATATTTTTTCTAACAAGGACCGAAAATAAAGTGATAAAAGAAATGTAACTTTCATTAAAAAACGCCAAAATTGCCCGATCTTTCAGGTGAGGTCTACTTCAGTGTATGAATATTTTTTACTTCCTTCCGTTATGCGGTCAACAGAAAGCCGACAAAATGTAAATAAATGCAAGAAAGATATTACTATGTCAGGTATAAAGCAACCGAATTTAAATTCTGTGAATTTATGTCTGTTCTATAAATATTTTTGTTCATGGGAATATGAATCTGTTTTAATTTATTTCACTAAAGCGAAGCATAAACATGATATCCTTTTTAGAAAAACGACGTAAAAACAGAAGGATTTGATAAAATGGCGGGACAAAAATGTATGCCGAAGCACGTGAAAAATTCTGAATACGTAAAGGTGGTTATTTAACAAAACTTTATCACTCGGGTGCACTGCATTGATATATTGACTAAATGTTAATGAAAATGTTTTAATTTAATTCATAGTCTTTAAACAGAATTTTGACATAGCAGTATGTGGGTAATTTTCAGTTTCAAAATTGTGCAACATTGTCATATTTTGATTTTGGAATCAATAACTCACTCTAATGGTGATATATCCCTATATATTTATTAACTATTAACTTTTTTTTTATAAAAACTCTTCTCTATTTGTAATTCAGCAACTGCCATGTAATGTTCAGGAGTAGCAAATTCACAAGTTTGATGTACCTTAATGACAACCCTTCTTCTTCCGGGTAATGTGCTGGGCCCCTCTGGAGCATCGTCGCACAATTGTGACTATTTACATGAGTGAAGGGAACATCAAGTGCAGCTAAAAACAGGTTAAAAACACCATGCTCCAGAGTTACTCGTGCAGCGCACCCATCCTCGTCTTGAAGACCTCTAGGGACGGAGCTGTCATCACGACTTCTGGTAGGCTGTTCCAAAGTCGGATCCGAGAAGGAAAGAACGAATACTTGTATGAGTTGACACAGGTAAAGGGTTGTAGGTACCTGTTGGCATGGCCTCGGGTGTGTACTCCAGCAGGGATCAGTTTGTGATGGGCTCGGATATCCACCAGGCTGTTAATGACTCTGTACATCATCACTGCTTTGGTTTGCTGACGGCGGGCTTCTAGAGTGTCCCAGCTTAGAGCTTCCATCATTGCAGTAACGCTGCTGGTGTGACGATAATCACCTGTCCAGAACCTGGCTGCTCTTTGTTGGCAGTTCTCGAGCTTACTGATGTTGGCCTTGGTGTGTGGGTCCCATACTGACGAAGCATACTCGAGCTGAGGTCTAACCAGTGTTTGTAACATGTCGCCTTGATGTTCTGTGGACAGTGTGATAAGTTTCTGCGTAGAAAGGCAGTGGTGGTGTTCGCCTTCTTTGCAGTAGCGTCAATATGGCTGTTCCAGGAAAGCGTATTGTCAAGTGTGACACCCAGATACTTTGCCTTGTTCGTCTGCTTTAGTGTTTGGCCATGGATGGCATAGGACCAAGTTATCACTTTCCGCTTGTTGGTAATGCGAATCATCTCACACTTGTCGGGATTAAACATCATCAACCAGTTTTGCTCCCACTCTTGTAGGCGGTCAAGATCCTGTTGTAGTGCAATGCTGTCTTCCTCAGAGCTGATGGTCCTATATAGTAGGCAGTCATCTGCGAAGAGGCGTGCTGTGGAGGAGACCCTGCCCGGCAAGTCGTTAATGTAGACTAGAAACAAGAGAGGCCCTAGGACTGTGCCTTGCGGGACGCCTGATGTGACTGGTGCTGGAGAGGATGTCTTCCCGTCGAGTACTACTTGTTGTTGACGGTGTGAGAGGAAGCTGTTGATCCAACCCAGAGTTTTGCCTGTGATTCCATAGTGGTGAAGCTTGGCCGAGAGACATCGATGGGGGACCTTGTCAAACGCCTTGGAGAAGTCTAGTAAGATGGCGTCGATCTGCTGTTTGTTGTTTAGTACCGTTGCAAGGTCCTGGACTGTGGTGATCAGTTGCGTCTCGCATGATCTCTTCTTCCGAAAGCCATGTTGCATATCGAAGAGGATGTTGTTATGATCGAGGAAACTGATCACGTGGCTATGGACAATGTGCTCCATAATCTTGCAACAGATGGATGTCAGCGAGACTGTGCGATAGTTTGAAGGCTTACTCTTGTCTCCCTTCTTGAATAGTGGTGTGACTAGTGCGCCCTTCCAGTCATCTGGTACTTGGCTCTGATCGTGTGAAGCTTGGAATATGAGTGTCAGCATTGGTGATATGGCTGAAGGCAGTTCCCTCAGACATCTGGATGAGATCTGGTCTAGTCCAGAGGCCGTGTGTAGGTTGAGATTCTCCAGGAGCTTCTTGACACCCTTCTCATGGATCTGCAGTGGAGGGGCTGTTTCTTGAATGTTAGGGCCCATGTTCGGTAGACTCTCAACATCTTCTTCGGTAAAGACGGAGGAGAATTGGGCGTTGAGTATCTCTGCTTTGGCACATGGGTCGGAATGGCTGATGCCATCTTTCTTGAGTGGTGCAACGCCTGAGCTGTCACTCTTCATGCTTTTGACGTACGAGTAGAGCTTTTTGTTATTGGTACCAGGCTCACTGACCATGTTCCTAACATACTCGTTCCTGGTTTCTCGGCACTTTTGTTGATTCTGTTTCTGGATGCTTCTGTAAGTGTCCCAGTCTGTCCGTTCTTTGATTTTCTGGCTTTCCTGTAGGCTCTTATCTTCTTTCTAGCTAGACGCCTTATCAGTCGATTACACCAGGGTTGATTGAATCTTGTGGATGTCAGTTTAGATGGCACAAACTCATCGATGGTGTCTGAGCACTTCTTCTTGAAGATGGTCCACAGGGAGTTAATTGGGGTGCTCGAGTTGTGTTCCTGTATAAAATGTTGGGAGAAGTTGTTGAGATCTTCGTTCATGGCCGGTATATTAGCTTTTTTCCATAAGTAAATACGACGTTGGACTGGTTTCTGGCGTCTGGGAACAATATCAGAGTCCACAGTCACAATGTCATGGTCACTTATGCCAGGGATGGGAGAGCATCTTTCCACCAAGGTTGGTCTGTTTGTGCAGAAAATGTCAAGTGTGTTGTCGTTACGTGTAGGAAAATTTACTATCTGTTCGCTACCAATGTCATTAAATGTGTCAATGAAGGTCTGGTTAATGGGAACGGAATACTGGTGGCCCCGGATGTTGTCTGTTGACCAATCTATATCTGGAAGGTTGGCATCCCCGCCCAGCCAGATGGAACTGTTCCTATTCTTTGAGTAGAGATTCTGGATTTCTTTGCAGAGGTCTATTGCATAAGATATGTTGTTCTTCCTAATAAGCAGTGCAGCAATTCATGTATTGGAATTGGTTTGAATAGTCAAGATTTTAGGCCATGGAACTAGTATGCTATATTTTCAATTACAGAAATAAATCAATTTCATCATCATCATGTGTTGCAATACCAGGGACATCAAAGATGACCTAGACTTCAGTGCATATGCAGAGGAGAGTAAGTACACCATTTTTGTCGAAAGTGACAGGTTATAATCTACCCAATACCTTTCAAAATTGCTATAACTATATACTTGCATAACTTATATAATTCATATAAAAACTGATTAAGCTTAAATACTGCTGAATTCATGTTTTTTATTAGTTTATTGAACCAATTAATGGATATATACATGTCAACATGTGATCCATATATATCATGATCAGATATTCATATGATTTAAATATTAAACAATAATGACATTTTTTAAGTGGCATATAATACTGTATTAGAAGAAGAAAAAAAAACATGCATTGCATGGTTAATTTTGGTCCAATTGAAAGATTTTGGTGTCATCTTAAATGATGAGTTTGATATTTGTATGACTCCATAATATTATTATAGGTAATTGTTCACTGAGGTGAAAAAATAATAGAGGGTCATTATAGGTCTGAAATCCACTTGTGAAAAAATATATATATGGTTTTTGGAAAGGATTCTGTTATGTAGTCAATTCTCAGACCATACAACAAAATAGTTACAGTTTCCTCAAAAGTGGAGTATACTTTCTTAGTTACAATCAAACATCATGAATTACTAATTTCTAGCTTTTTTTTCAAAGATATAACATTCTATGTCAGATTGCTATGTCAGCATACAATTGCATTATTTAAATATTTTGAAATGTATCAACATGAAACTTGAAAGACTTGCTTATCAGGACAACGTGTAATTGTTAAACAGGGGAGCATACGTGTTATTATGAAAGCAGTCATTGAATTTAGCACTAGCCCGGTGGCCCATGGCCAGTGAAAATTAGTTTGGGCCAGTGTAAATTTTAAGAAAATGAAGTTAAATAACTTAAATATATAGTAGAATAAATTCAAAACTGGAATTGGGGCCAGTGAACTCAAAATCTTAAATTCAATGACTGTGAATGCAATATTTTTTTAAGTTCTATCCCTTTTAAACTAAGAATTTTTAACAGACTGGTGTAATCACTGCATGCAATACTGCTGTATTTGTTGTTAATAACAAGGGCAGATTCATGTCCTATAGTAAAACTTGGTGAAGACTGAATATATACAATTCTTATGTAGAATATTTTTCGCTAAAATGAAAAGGAATTCCACAACAATTCATTTCTGGTTTAGTTATAAAACTGCTACGAACTATAAACTATTCATGGTAAGTAAACAATTATTATATATTTGATTTTGTTTGAATGTTTGATATTTTTATATGATTATTCTGTTGCTCAAGAAATATTTAGATAAAATTCTAGATAGCATTACATAATTGTCATTTGTTGCAAGAAAATTAATGCATGCAAGATGTTTTGATGCATAATGTGGAATACTTCATAGGTTTATGGTAAGCATTTTATATGTAAAATAAATGTGAAATGCTTAGTAATGTTTCATAAAACTTGTTGAAGGCTGACTTCTTTGC